AATTTGTTTATTAATATCTCTATTGATTTGAGTGATGTCATGTCAAAAGTTATTTAGTTTTACATAAACTTTATATTCAAGAAGATCATTTTCTTATACGATTGTACCAAGATATTTGTATAGTAACACCATGTAAATTGTAATAGTGCCTTGTTGATATTAATGCTAATATTTTAAAATTGTGGTTATAACTTTTTACACAAAATCAGAAGACAAAAACATTTTTTCACTCTTTTAAGTTGTTCTAGAAAAAGGTCTTCTTTACCAAAGGAATATACAACAATCCCAAACCAAGCTTAATCGGATAGTGCTGAACCAAAAGTGGAACACATTAATGTGTTCCTTAATAACTTTTTTTTAAAAAAAATAAAAAATCCTTTTTTGTGCTTGGGAATTTGTGACCTCACAAAAGAGTTGATGATCACATAAAAAATGCAGTGCCGATATTAGATTTGAGGGATGGATCAAATCACGATAAAGAAAATTTGATGATTTTTATATCAGGTGGAAAGTCTCTCTATTTTTAGTCCATAAATTAAATAGATAAATTGAAATCATAAAAAGAGCAAAACAAACAATAGATTTGTTGTTAAAATAAAAGTGCGGCGATATCACAATTCACATGACATGTTGTAACAATTTCAATATAACAAGAGTGGGTCATGTGCACAAGTTCAGAAAACAAAAGTCTCAAAAATGGAGAGATTCAACCCAAAATATCATAGAGACAAATGTTCTTTTTTATTATTAAATCACACACTTAATTTACAAAATTCCAAATTTGGCCCCACAAATATTTTTGTGGCTTGTTGAAGAGTCTTGACTATATACAATGTAAAAAGAAACATTTGGCAATACAATAGAACAATTTCACTAGAGGACAATGGCCATGTGCTTATTTGGTGGCTTGAAGCAATGTATTAGTTCTCAAGATTAATGATTTTGTTCTATCATGTTACTTCAACTGACATAAAGTTAAGAGCATAAATCGACATAGGTCATATATATCTTCATGTTGACCTTTAAATCTTAATAATACATAGAGATCGATAGCTTAGATTGGACATAATTCTGTATTTTTATCATGCTATTTTGATATATGCATACAAAATGTATTAAGATTATTAAAAGTATCTCTTTATTTAAAATCTTATCTATCAATATATAGTGATAATTCATAAAACTTTCTTGCAACTCTAGTCCCTTGTCTATAGGAGTAATTGTCACCTCCAAACTAGCAAACTTCACAAGTGATGAGTTTTATATTGAGTTCGAGGAACTTTCAAAAATAGCAAAGATTTAAAATATAATGAGGCAAAATAGTTATACATTGCTTAATTACGATTCATAGCTACATGTTAGAGGAAGAAAAGAGACGGACGAGCGGGAAATAAAGAGAGGTGGATTATATGTATATATCACTGATTGTATTTGTATATCTGGTGGATAATTTTATATTAGTATGTATAATATGTATGAGTGAATACAATAGTATAAATAAATACCATTTGTATCTGATAATCTAGCATATTAACTTCGCAAAATTACAAATTAGTGGGATCAATGCTCTTAATTTGTTTGGCAGATGTCCAGCACATTAATATTATAACTCGAGATATATCTAAGCAAAAATAGTTAATTACCTTATTAAAAAAAAACTTTTAAGTTAAAAATATAAAATAAAATTGAAATGACTTTTAAATCAAAAAATAAAAAATAGGAGGAGACCTATTTTTGATTTTTGACTTATTTTAAGTCATTTTAAATTTATTTTAACTTATTTTTGACCTTGTCAAATATTTTCTAACTTATTTTAACTCATTTTTGACTTATTTTAAGTCATTTTTTATATTTGTCAAACACTTTCAAAAGTCAAAATTGACTTAAAAATAAGTTTGACTAAATTTTAAGTCAATCCAAGCACCTGTCTATTTCAATGGGAGTAAATAGAATGTGTTGTAAACCGATCTTTAATCCATGAATGATATCAATCAATTTAGTGAGAGTGTTAGTAGCATTGGGATTGGTTTCCCAAAAAGAAAAATGTACGGTTAAATTTATATGCAAGGATTAGAGAATATATAAGAAATAATGGATTTTAAGCACATAAGTTACTAACAACTTGAAAGATAGGTTAATATTCAAGTGTGATAATTAAGTGTGTTTGGTAGAATGAAAAATGATTTTTTTAAAATGTTTATTTTGGAAGGCAAGTAGATTGCTTACGTAATTTTTAGTATTTGATAAATAAGTAAGAAAATATTATTTCAAAAATATTTAAATATTATTTAGCAAATACTATAGAGGCAAAATGAGACGGGGAGTGGAGGTTGGGGGTGGCGAGGGTGGATGGTCAAGCAATGGGGGTTGGGAAGATTGGATAGATGCACAAGAGGGGGTCACCAGGTTCACCTAAATCAATGCTCCCTATTCGAAATCTTATATAATAGTGTTATATTTTTAAAAATATATATAAATATAGATGTGTGAAGCCTCATGACTCCAAGTATCATAAAATGCAATGATGATTGGGTGCATCTCTCTAAGTGAGATTAGAAATTTAAATCTTACATCCATCTAGTTTTATTTTTCTTTCTAAAATTGGTTAACGCCTTAACACCTCTCTAGGCGGTTATTGGTAGAACTTTATATATATATATATATTTAATCTTTCAGAATTTTCAAATTTGTCGCATTGAAAATTTCTAACATTTTTAGCATTGTATTTTTTTTTAATATAATTAAATCAAATATGTATATTGATACTAGTACTACTAGATGATATAACATACAATCAATGGGTTTAGTTGATCTCAATATATAGAAACTCTCAAAAAGAAATTGTTACTTTTAAAAAAAAAATCAATGATCATCCGTCAATTTTAATTTTTTATAATAACTAACGGATGAACACCGATTTATAAAATGCAAAATTGCAGTTGAAGAGCATATATAAAAATAAAGAAATCATAAAATGAGTATTTTGTGTTTAAATGGTACAATAAAAAAAAATAGAATTGCAGGGTTAATCTTTTATTATTTTTTTAAAACAATACATTTTTTTCACTCTCTTAGAGAAAGTGTGATGCTCACACTCTGCCAAATCAATTAGAAGTGCCAAAATGAAACATAAAAATTGGAGTTAAAGGGTCACAATGGAACAAGATTAAGTTGGAGTGCCAAAATGAAATTTAGGGACAAGTTTAAGGGTCTACATATGTGTTTGGCCAAAAATTTAATTGTCTGCAGCAACTTTGAACCCGTTTGGATTGGGTTAAAAAAAGTACTTCCTCTGTCCCTAATTACTTGTCAACTTTTGAATTGACACACCTATTAAAAAATCAATAATTGACATAGTGAGTTTACCATTTTACCCCTATTAATTATGAAGTGGATGAATTAAAAGCTTAATTTTTTCAAGAAGTTCTACATTTTTCAAAGTAATTAATTGAGGGTATAATAGGTAAAAAAAATTGTCATTTCTTGATTTATCAAAATAGACAAGTAATTAGGGACAACTAAAAAAGGAAATATGGACAAGTAATTAGGGATAGAGAGAGTAGCTTTTAAGTCAAAAATAAAAAGTCAAACTGAAATGACTTTTAAGTAAAAAAAAAAGAGTAGGGGAGACCTACTTGTGGTTTCTGACTTATTTTAAGTTATTTTTTACCTTGCCAAACAATTCGTACCTTATTTTAAATCATTTTTGACTTATTTTAAGTTATTTTTTATATTTGTCAAATACTTACAGAAATAAAAAACTGACTTAAAAGTAAATTTGACCAACTTTTAAGCCAATCCAAACGGGCTCTTTGTAGCTTCCCTATTTTCTAGATTCTGAATTGATATGCATATTAAACTAATAGTAATATCTAAATAAAAAATAAGATAAAAATGTAATTTCATAAATTAAAAAAAAAAGAAAAAAAAAAGCTGCTTCTAGGAGCATCCCACCCCTATAAATATTCCAAAATTTGTTATAGAATTGCTACTAATATTCTATATTTTGTTGAAAGATGAAGGACAAAATTTAAACTTAAAAATTACAGCTGTAATTGGGATTTCCTTAGAAAAAGAGAGAGAGAAAAAAAAGAAAAATATGTTTTAAAGATATACAGGTGAAAACGCGTTTCACAGACACACACAAAAGTCTGTGACAGTTTTGTCTTTGACAAACAAAACTAAAGTTAAAAATACATTACAAAATCTATCAAAAGCCAAGCCAATAAATTCTACCTGCCCCTCATGGTAAACTTAGGTAAATCATGTATGGAAATATAATATTCGATATTGAATCAATTCAACATTTCGTTCGATGATCACTTCTTCGATCATATTTGTAAAAAAAAAATCACGGAATCATTGGGAGGGAGAATACTTACGCAAAATTTAAAGTAAAATCACGAACAAATGTTAAATCGTATTTTTTGATTTTTAGATCACGAAATTATTAACATTAGTTACACGTTTTGAGTAATTGATTAAACTGGTTTTAGAAGATTAAAAAGTGAATAAATATTAATTTGGGATAAAACGAGAATATTTGATCCAAATATTCCATTTTATTGAGTATATATTGGTGTTATGTGATAGTGATTGCAAATTAGTGAGACATGAGACTGGCATCTGAATAGACAACTGATTTTTTTTTTATATAATGATGTTTATCAAGACTAAATCTGTTATGCAATGGAGAGTCAATGAAAAAAATTCTATGCGACCAATGAAAAATTTATGTTGTGAAATATGATTTTTCCATCAAAAATACATATGATTAAAATAGATTTTTCAACCTTTTTTTTTTTTTTCACTGATTCAATCAAATATTTACGGAAATAATCATTCAATATTATTAATAATGATTTTTTTTGTAGTGTGATGACTAAACTATTCAATTTAATTACATCAATACATTGTCTCAAATCATTCCATCATGAAGAACAATTCAATTGAATCATGCCATTGCTAGTCAAAGTCTAATGAAAACAAACCATATAATAAAAATAAATATTTTCCCACCATTTTTTTATTGCACTTTGAGTACACAATAAATGATACAGCATATGACACACTTCTATTAAAGAATATATCTTTAACAAGAATTTTCTAGGAACTCACATGGGAGAGTCCAGAAAATATGACTTCTCTCTCTGTATTGTCCCTAAATTTTTTTCCCCTAATAGTAATAAATATAAATAAAATTAGTCTATGTAAGTGATGTTGTTCAAGAAAAAATTAACTTGACATCACATGTAAAAAAAAGAAAAAACTTTTTTTTTTGTTTTTTCTTTCAAAGAATAATTAAATAATTGAAGTGAGATCTTGATGATTAGCAAAAACTCCATAAAGGGATATCTGCTGATGATTCTTCATAATAAACATCCTCCATTGAAGGTGGATCAAAGAAAACTGTACCATGTAACATGTCATTATACTTTGGTGAATCAAAATTGTACCATTGCTCAATCATTGACATCTCTTGATCAAAAGTATAATTTGGTAATAAACAAACATCATTTATATCCTCAGAAGAAGTAGTAGTAGTAGAAGAAGAAGGCGGTGGAGATGGAGATGATAAAATAGTAGGGTTAGTACTGTCATCTGACAGTACTAACCCTACATTTTGTTCAGGAGTGGCCGCGGCTGCCGCGGCCACTCTCTGAATGGCTTTAGGAGAGAGTGTTGTAGAAGTGTGATGATCAATGTGGTGATAGAAAGAAGAGTCAAAAGGAAAGTTGAGATTTGAAGAAGCAGAAGGGCCTTTTAGGCATAAAAGTGCAGCATCATAAGCTCTAGCAGCAGCTTCAGGGGTAGAATAGGAACCTAACCAGATTCTTGTTTTTTGATTTGGTGCTCTTATTTCTGATACCCATGATCCCCAGCTTCTCATTCTAACTCCTTTGTACTTATTCTTCTTCATCTTCATGTTATTGATATTGCTTGATGTTGAAGAAGATGATGATGATATTGACATTGATTTCTTGTTTGGCTCTACTAAACTTTTTTGCTCTGTCTTCACCATTGCTTGAATCTTGAAAGAATAGTGTTGTTTTGTTTGCTTCTTTTTCTTGTTTTTGTGTGTGTTTTTGAGGTGGATATTGATGAAGTGATGTTGAAGTTAGAGGAAGGGATGATTATTTATAGATGGTGTGGGCTAATTTGAGTTGGGGGTGGGGTGGGGTGGGGGTAGGG